ATGTGAGCAGTAGGCACTCCACTGTCAAGTAATTCCTTTTAGAAAACGCACTGACTCCCAGGTGACATTAAGTACAATGCCGTGAATTCTCACTCCTATGGCAAATGATAACCATATTTGTATCGGTAAATGGTTATTAGTTTTCTTGGGGAGTTATTATAAAGGATTACATGCAAAATGTATTCATATCCACTCAAAAAATTCCAGCATACTTATTGGAGGGCAGAATAATTTTAAATGTCAGAGAACATAGATAGCATCCATTGAACTTCCTCTACCTTATTATCAAGTAAACTACATCTCTCCTCAATTCTATTAGGAGCATTTATCATTTCAATCTGTTGATCTGCATTTTGGTACTTGGACTCTGGAATCTCTTCAAATTAAATAAAGCAAGATAGCCCGGACTTTGGTTATCTATAAAAGCAAAAGACTGAAAACAATCCACGTGACTAATAAGCCTTTTTAAAGAACTGTGTAATTATTAAAAAGAACAAAGCAATTCCAGAGGGGCTGATAAGACCTTTCTCCAAGATTGGCTGTTAAACTAATAAAGAAAAGTACAGAGATGCATATATAATTGTACCTGCATTTACAGAGAATATTGCTGGAAAGATAAATAAGAAACAGGCTACCATGATAGCCTCTAAATGGGAGACCTGAGTGGCTGGGCACAGGGGTGTAGGGAGACATTGTTTACTCTGTTGAAACAGACTCCCCCTAAAACCAAGTTCCCCTGCTGAGTTTATGATTACTCTCTCTATCCAAACCTTTATTCCCTTTCTTGTCCCTTCTGACCTCAATCCTGTGCTAATTGAACACTAATCAACCAGAGTCAGATGACTAAAATTGCTGTTGTTGATAACATGTTACTGTACTAAAATTGCTATTATAGAAATCATTATTAACATACAAACCAGGTTGTTTCTCCGGAGCAAGATGAGCTAACAGACCCCTAGCCATGGACCACCTGGCCAGAGAATCGTAAACCAGAGACGTCCTGACTTCCAAACCTCCAATTAAGAAATGTCACAAAACGATGATTAACCCCAGCTCCTTTGTTCTTCCCCTTTAAAACACTCCCAAGTCAATGATCAAGTTGGAGTGGATCTGAGGCTTGTCTCCCACTCCCTTGCTTGGTGCCCTGCAATGAACACTTACTTTGCTACAAACCCACTGTCAAAGTTTGGCTCTCTGCCCAAAAGCCCTTGCTTGGTTACAATATTACCTTTTGAATTTTGTAATATATGCATTGAATTTATTTACAGATTTTAAATGATTTATTAATTAAAAAACTCCTAGGTACCGGAATTAGACTTTGGCTAGTGTTCTGATACAGTTGCCAAATAAAATATAGGACACCCAGTTAAATTTGAAATTCAGGTAAACAGTGTTTAAAATTAAAGACAAGTATGTCCCAAATATTGCATGGGACATACTCATACTAAAAAAATTGCTGTTTATTCGAAATTCAAATCGAACTGGGTATCTTGTATTTTTATCTGCTCAGTATGGCAACCCTAGGTCCTGATCCCACCATTTATTTTGTTTGTGACCCTGGAGAGTGAGTTAGGTCAGATTCCTCGAAGCAGAAGAAAGGAGAGGATGAGACCTCAGCTCATCCTGGTTCCGTGGGGGTAGTCAGAGGGCAAGTTCAGCTTCAGAGCAAGGGCTTTTGTTCCCCACAACTGCACCGGCATCCCTGTGGGGAAAGGAGGGCATCTCCAGCCCTCCTCACTTGAAAGTAAAATGTCTCCAGTAGGGCTTCCCTGGTGGCGCAGTGGTTGAGAGTCTGCCTGCCGATGCAGGGGACTCGGGTTCGTGCCCCGGTCCGGGAAGATCCCACATGCCGCAGAGCGGCTGGGCCCGTGAGCCATGGCCGCTGAGCCTGCACGTCCGGAGCCTGTTGCTCCACAACGGGAGAGGCCACAGCAGGGAGAGGCCCACGTACTACAAAAAAAAAAAAAAAAAAATGTCTCCAGTAGTCCGAAGAGGACAGTCTGCCCGTGAAGAGCCACAGCTGTGGCTGCTGGAAACCAAAGCTGGGGGAGCAAGAAGGAACTATAGAAGCAGATCCAAAGAAAAAAGAAGAAGTAGGTGACTGGAAGTGATGATGAGCAGGGCCACTCCTATTCCTGCTTCTGTTTCTGGGACCTCTATACTCCTCCTATTGGGTACCCAGTGGTATGTAATGGCTGTTACTCTGTGGTACACAACACACCCTGAAGGACCACACCTCATCTTTGCTTTGCCTTCAAAGGACTGTTCCATGCTCTGTCAGGCTAGCATCTTCCAAGTGAGGTGCTTCATGGTAGGACGAGTGGATCCCATGCCATGTACACTTTGTCACACCTTATTTACTATAAAGTGGGTTCCTTAATCCAAGGCAATGCTGTTTCAGCAGATCAGACACTCGGTGGGCCCCGAGATAGTGGTGTTAGCTGATACACTACATCGAGAACAGAAACCCTATATCTGGAATGTGTGTGTGTGTCAGATCGGGATGGACTGAGCCACAGATCCTGCTGAGGAAGAGCTAGGAACTCCTTGCTGTATACACGTACTGAAACATTGCAGAGAGGTCTGACTACCTATTACTGCCTATCAAAGTGCCCCAAATCATGGTTCAAGCAACAATCACTAACAACAATCATTATCTCTCATGGTTTCCATGGGTCGGGAATTCCCCAGGGCTCAGCAGGGCTGTTCCGAGTTCTCCAGAAGCAGAAGCAGACCCTGAGGCAAGACTTTTTGAGCAAGCAACTTGCTAAAGGAAGTCGGGAGAGATCTGGAAGGCAAGGAAGAAGGGGAAGCAGGAAGAGGAGGAAACCAAGGCAGGGCATGGTCTCGTCAGTTCTGCAGAAGGCTGGCTCCACCTGGTCCACTGTACACCTCTGGAGTGTCCATTACATCTCAAAGTTGTCCTAACCTGATGCGAGGGGCCTGAGCATTCTCATTCCACACCTGTCAGTCATTGGTCCTTTACTACCCTGGACAGCAGGGGTTAAACCCCCAAGCATGCCTGGCTCTACTGATGCAGATCCAGTGTCCCCTTTAGATTGCTTTTAAAACTCTTTCTTGATTTGTAAAAAGGAAATAATATTCATATCTATCTTATTTTTTAGGACTAAGTGAAATTATGCCTACAAATTTCTTACTTTAGTATCTGGTACTATGCAAGAACAGAATTGAAACTCATTATTTGGAGCAGGAATTATCCAAAAGATACAATTGCTCCCTTAATTATCAAAAGCAAATGTGAGTATCAGGAACTTCTGAATGGATTCCAAGAGTATCACATTAAAGGATTTTTAGGGGCGCCAGTTGTAGATTCTAGCCCCTCACTACCCTCTTACAAGATCTTATTCTAGATTCTCTGAGTTAGCCTACACACCAAGATACTTTGTGCTGGCTTATGGGGTTTCTTGTTGTTTCTCTAAAGTTGTTGTTAGTAATATTTTACTATATTGGTATAAAATTAACATTCAAACTTATTTAGCTATATTTAAGAAAGTAGGCTTTCTATTTTAAAATACATAAATATTGTCATGTTGAATACATTTCTAGACATTCAAAACACTACCTGATGTATAGAAAATCCTTCAAAAAAGAAAGTGTTGAATAAATGAATTACTGAATGTTAGTCATAATAATTGGGGAAAGCGGGGGAAATTACAGATCTATAATCTCTAATCCACAAATCCAAAAGGCTCTGAAAAATGATTTTTTTCATAATTTAGCAGGTGGCAAAACCTAACTGGACCTGAACTCATTTGGCAGCAAAGCTTGAAGCAAACCGACAGAAGGCCATGTCAAAAAAATATATAGTCTTTATTTATCCCATTTTGTGTTAATATTTAAATGTTCCACTGCAGATATATTAATGTGTTTGATTACAGGGTACTGTCCCCAGGTGTCTATGGGAGACATATAATACATGGGTAAATATATGGATATCATATACACACTATATTAACTTTCTAAAATGCAAATCAAATTCTGAATTCAGAGATATATCTGGCGCAAGGGACTGGGATACGAGTGTCTACATTTTGCTATGACTTTACCTTGTGCCACTTGCACTTGCTATTCCTTCTGCTAGAAATACGCTTTCCATTCCTTTCCTGCCTGGATCCTTTTCTTCCTTCGGGATTTGACTTAAATTTCTCCTCCCCAGAGACACGTTATTGGTTCATGCTGTTATTCTCCATCAAGCACCCTGTTTAGTCTTTCACAGCAATTTTGTCAATCTATAATTATTACCTTAGTGTTCTGTTTATTATCTATCTCTCCCTCCAGACTCTAAACTTCATGAAGTCAGGGACTTTTCACCTTTATTCAATTTTGTATGTCCAGCTCTTAGCACAATGCCTGGCACATTGTAGGGGCTCAATGTACATTTGCTGAATTGAATGAATGAATCAGTCAAACAATTAGTCCATTCAGACATGCTAACATTGGAATGGGACTCAAAGACCTCATCTGCTAATTAAGCAAAGCTAATACAATGAAGAAGAACTGACTTGTATGTGAATTTGTTCTTGGTACAAAGAAAATATTTCTCTTAGGTCCAAAAAGAATGACTGCAGGTATACAAATCTATGTATAGTGAAATAAGAGACATGATAGAGAAGATGTGATTCTCTACTTGTCAAATACTCTGATGACACTTTAATAAAATTACCTCCTGGACATAACTGCCTTCATTAACATTGTGTTGCCTCTTTCTAATCTGGTGCCTTATTTCTTATTTTAATATGTGTATTTGTGCCCGTGATACGTGGACTTGAAACAACACCATTTTCCCATCAACTGCCCAAACAAACAGAATTGACAGATTTAAACTTTCTGGGATCCTAGAATTACCACCTATTTCCAGAGTAAAGAATTTAAGTTCTCATCAGAACTCATCATTAATCACTTCAACATGAAATCAGAAGGTTTTGAGATTATCTCATCTGTGTCATGATTTCTCCAAGGTTTCTGGGTGTGGTACACACCTTGTAGGAGGATGCGTCGTATAGGTCAAGCTCCAGAACTAGCCATTTTCCAAAAGTCTGCTTGTTCCAGAAAGAGTGGCATTTTTTTTCTTCCTGTGCTTCTGCCCTTTGCAGCCAAGAGAGGAAGCTAAGTTTAGTGGTTAGTGCAATAGCCTGAGTTAGCAACCTTCATTCTATATTTGGTTATGTGATTTGCTGAAAACCTTTTTCAAACCAACTCTGTCTAAATTATGAAAAAAGTCTTTATTCTCTTATATGTAACTTTTCTGAACTTCTGTGTAAACACTATTTTCACTGCTACTGTTCTGAAACCCTGAAACATATTCCTGGGATTTTTTTCTCATGTATTTCTGTTAGTAATGGTCTGGTTGGAGAATTCAATAAACCAACAAAATAACCAAGCAAAAAACAAACTAAACTGAATACTAGGGTCTCAGTGGCATGCCCCATAATTTTCACACAACCTAGAGCCATCCACTCAGATGAGAATGAGAATGGAGGCCCTTGGAATTATGCCCAAGTGAACATCATGGCCTTGTGTAAAGCCCAGCAAATGAGAAAGAGCAAAACTGCCCATCATAAATAACTTTAACTTTTCAAAAAGGATGACTTTAGAACCAACAATTCCCTCGCTCTAGATCTTTAATTGTATAAAGGAAAAGATGTGCTCCTTGCTAAAACAGTTAAATTGCATCTTGGGGGCAAAATATTTTGTAGGGTAGAAGTTTCCTTAATCACGTGCTACAGCACTCTACCACTTTGTGAGGTTAGCTTTGTTTGCAGCCTGGCAACTACTTGGCCTGTGTTTTAAGGAAGGCTGAGTAAATGCTCTGGGGACCTATCTAAAGGGTAAATGCTATTGTAAACGTTTTTTAATGATTGTATTACTTTAATGTATATGAATGTTCATTGAACCATTGTTCATAACTGAAACTTTCAAAAACTTAAACATTTATCAATAGGAAATTGATAAAATAAAAAATTGAGTTGAAGTAAAGTTAAATAATGTGAGATTTAAAAAATGTGAATCTATATTTGTTTGAGTTAAAAAAAAAAAGTAAGCCAACAGAATACTGTGTTTTATGATCCCAAACATTATAAAATGTTTGGGGTCTATATGCACATAAATTTATAAAGAATTATTTCAATGCCTCATAACCAAATACTAATATTGATTTTCTACGGAAGTGAGGCTTCCAGGACTATTTATTTTCTTATTTGTACTTTTCTGCAGTATCTTCTAATATACTATTTATTTATCATTAAAAATACAGAGCAATTTGCGTTAGGTTTTTGCATTTTTCTTATTACAGATATATAAGCAAGTAAATAAGAAATTAAACATCACCCCAATCCCAAGAGATAACCACTGTTAACATTTTTGTATATTTTCCTACATGTATGCACATAATGTTACACAAATGGGATGTGTACATAATTTTAAAATGTTTTATTTTATATTAGACTATAGTTGATTAACAATGTTGTGTTAGTTTCAGGTGTACAGCAAAGTGATTCAGTTACACATATACATATATCTATTCTTTTTCAAACTCTTTCCTGTTTAGGTTATTACAGAATATTGAGCAGAGTTCCCTGTGCTATACAGTAAGTCTGTGTTGGTTGTCTATTTTAAAAATTGTACTATGTATATGTCAATCCTAAACTCCCCTACATAATATTTTATAGTCAGGATTTTTTTTCACCTTAGAGCATATTATGAGGCTTCTTCCAAGCTCTTGTTAGTCTTTTTACTTTTTGAAATGCCTGTTAGTGTTTTATTGTATGGACACATCATGATTATTTAATCAGCCCTCCATTTCTAGAAAGTTATGTGCCTTCCAATTTTCTGCCGATATAAATAGCACTTTGATGAACATCCTTGTAACAAAATTTTCAACCGTTAGGAACTCTTTTTCTAAGACAATGGAAGATGAAATCAGCCTGTCTACCATCAGACAAAGGTCAATTGTTCTCTTTGTTGCCAAAAGTACAGCTCAGCCTCTCAGCCACTTCTTCTGGATCCACAAATAAATACTTCAGGGCAAAACCAGCCCTATTAGTTGAACTTGTATCTCTGGATTCCTAGATCTACGCCAAGTAATTTCTCAGTATTTTATTAGCTCTTTGTCACTTTAAGGAAATTTAAATATATATATATATTCCAGTATTTTCAGTTGTTTTTAGTAAGAAGAATTTCCAAATATCAAGTTTTCCATTACTGAGAGTGAAACTAGGGTATTTTTTAAAGTGCTCTGGCATTTCCTACTTGAGACCCTCCATGGTTTCCCTTGACCTTCAGACAAACCCAAATCCCCAACTAGAAGTACCAGGTCCCACAGGCTCTGCTTCCTACTCAGATATCAGACTACATCTTGTCCCTCATTGCTTCTCTGTCCATCAGCTTCTGTCACTCTGCCCCCTGTCCGCTCCACAAAGGGTTTTTGCAGTTGCCCTCCTCTGCCTGGAACACTATGCTGCCAGACATTACTTGCCTACCTTCTGCTCCTGATTCAGGTTTGGGTTCAAACAATACCTCCCCTGAGAAGCATTCCTGGCCATCCCATATAAAGTGTCTTCAACCCTACTCACTCTTTCTCATACTACTTGGTTTCATTTTTTTTCTTGCTGCACTTATCACTCTATGGCACTTGGTTTAACTGTGTGTATTCTATCTTTTCTCACCAGGATGCCAGTTCCATGAAAAGGACCCTGGCCCTGCTCTATCTCGTTCCTCATATCATGCGTCACAAGCACTTTTAAAAAGTGCTCTGTGAAAAGTATTATTATTTCCTTTTCATACATTTTCAAAGCGTGCAGTGTGGGAGGAGGAGCCTGTGAGGAGATGGACTTGTTCCTAAGTAAATGTCCACGTATAATCTGGTGACAAGAGCCTGACAGACCAGATGTCATAAGACAAGGTATTTTCCAGTTGCTGTGGGACCAGTGATGTGTCATCCCACCCTGCCTTTCACAATATTTCAAAACATGTGTCACTCAGCTTTTTAAACCACTTCACCATCTTCATCAGTTCTTCCTACTAACCCACATCACATGTGACCCACCAAACAGCAGTGAATTCTAAGAGGGCAACAAGAAAAAAGAAGAACAGTGAGTACAGGGAACCCAGGGGAAATCTATAATTATTCTCATAAACTAAAAAGTGAATTTTACTTTGCTAATAGGTTCATCTGTACCATTTTAATAGAGACACAGATGTAGAGAACAAACGTATAAACACCAAGGGTGGAGAGGAGGGGGTGGGATGAAGTGGGAGATTGGGATTGACACTACTTGGGATATACACTTATATACACAATAGTGTATACACTTATATACACAATAGTGTATATTGGGATATACACTACTATGCCTAAAATAGATAACTAATGAGAACCTCTTGTATAGCACAGGGAACTCTACTCAGTGCTCTGTGGTGACCTAAATGGGAAGGAAATCCAAAAAAGAAGGAATATATGTATACATATAGGTGATTCACTTCTCTGTAAGCAATTATACCCCAATTTTAAAAAAATAGAAAAAAGTGAATTTTAAGTACAACATTAATAATCATTAATTAATAAGCAGAAAGAATTGAGTAAGAGCCTCAGCTGAGCTAGCAAAACTAAAATCTAGGTGCTAAAAACATGGCTCTCCATCATTTTATGGTCCTAGCATAATTTCAAATACCAGAGTTTTGAGAAAACTGTTGACGAGATTAAGACTCAAGAAACCGCTAAATTAGCAATAAATGAAACATAATTATACTAGCACAGAGCAAAGCCACATATTGCCTAGAAAGACCTCACAGGTGTGATGCGCCAATAACCCTGCATCCTTAGGCACTCATTCTGCTTGAAGAGAACAGTCAATGCCCTCGCAGCACTCAAGGACATAATCTGAAAGTAAAGTCATCTCTTGCCTGTACATTTTTCTTTGGTGAGAACTTGACTTATGTTAAACCATTTGACTTGTGGTAGATTGTATCTAATCTGGACCACGCTCCACAAACAACTCAGGTCGAGTTCTGTTTGACAGACATTGCCTGTTGGCAGAATACTCAGCTGCAGTAAAATAAGTTTTAAATGGTGCTCACAATCGGGCAGCCTAGTTCTTGGTGAGGCAGAGTGTTACAGCATGCCAGTTCAGAAACTAGACTGAGTTCCTTACTTCCTATTTCAAACATTCATATTCTACAGTCATCAAGTACACTACCTCTGGGCTAAGTAAATGACCTAATTAAGTTGAATGATTTGTACAAAGGTAAGAAATATGGTTTAAAAAAATAACATAAATTGAAGCAAAATCATAAAGGGTCTTAAATAATATTAAAATATGTTAAATAGCCACAGAAGAGCCATTAATTTATTAATGAATTTATTCATTTAACAGATATTTATTGAGCATCTTCTATGTGCTAGGTTGTTTCCTAGGTGAGTGATAGAGAACACGATAAAAACAAAGCCCCTTCTTCATGGAGCTTACTTTCCAGGGAGAGAGACAGATAATAACCACAAAAAAAAAATTTTTTTAACCGAAAAACCAAGTAAACATATAGTTAGGCAGGACTAGTGATAAGGGTAAGGGCGGCATAGGGGAATACAGAGTATGCGGGAGGGGTGGTAGCAAATATACACTCTGGGGATGACTCACTGCTAGGGTGACATTTGAGAAGAGACTTCCTTTAAGGAAGTGAGAAAGCAGAGAAAGCCTGGGCAGCAGATTTCAGAAGGTAGATTGTTCCAGGCAGCAGCAACAATAGGTGCAAAGGCCCTGAGGCAGGAGCATAGCTGTGTCAACAATGGTCTACTGGAAGGGAATATTTGCTAAGAGAGTGAAAGGAGAAAACAACCAGGAGAAGCGGCAAGATCACATAAGACCTCTGCAAATATTTTGGCTTCTACTCTGAATGAAATGAGAAGCCAGTGGAGGATTCTCACCAGAGGAGTGACATATTTAAACGTGTATTTTAAAATGATAGCTCTGGAAGAATAAAAATGCAAACAGGGAGATCAAGGGAGAGAGAACGGTGGAGTCTGAATCACGGTGGTATCTGTGGAAGAGGTAAGAAGTACTTGAAATCTAGATACTTTCTGAAAGTAAAAGCTGAAATAATTTGCTAGTGGATTAGCTATAGCATGGGAAAGAAAGAAAGGAATTAAAGATGACTCCAAAGCATTTCGCTAGAGAACTAGAAATTTAACATTCCCATGGATTGAGATGAACAAATACCACAAGAGGAGTAGGTCTGGAATCAAAATAAGAAGCCTGATTTTGGAAAACATGAGGTTACCATCCTGTGCTGTCCGAATCAGCAGTTACTGACCATATGTGGGTATTTAAATTTACATTTTAATTAATGAAAATTAAATAAAATTTAAAATTCAATTCCTCAGTTGCACTCGCCGTGTTTAAAGTGCTTCCATACCCACCTAGACGGGGTTAGTGCCCATGTGTTGAATAGTGCAGATGATACACTGCATTTCCATCACTGCAGAAAGTTCTGTTGGGCAGTACTGGAGAGACATTAAGCCTTTACTATGTGCTGGGCCCTATGCGAAGTGCTACAAGTCAGGCAATGTTGTATCTTTTTTTTTTTTTTTTTAACATCTTTATTGGGGTATAATTGCTTTACAATGGTTAGTTTCTGCTTTATAACAAAGTGAATCAGTTATACATATACATATGTTCCCATACCTCTTCCCTCTTGCATCTCCCTCCCTCCCACCCTCCCTATCCCACCCCTCCAGGCGGTCACAAAGCACCAAGTTGATCTCCCTGTGCTATGCAGCTGCTTCCCACTAGCTATCAACCTTATGTTAGGTAGTGTATATATGTCCATGCCTCTCTCTCGCTTTGTCACAGCTCACCCTTCTCCCTCCCCATATCCTCAAGTCCGTTCTCTAGTAGGTCTGTGTCTTTTACAAAGGGTATAACTAGAGTTCAGAGGAGTTAAGTAACCCTGCCCTAAGTCACACAATTCTTAAAAGGGTAGAGAGCCAGAATTGGATTCCAGTATTGTCTGCTTCCAAAGCCCCAACACTTAAATCATCACACTAAATTTTAGAGAGATTAAACCAGTTTGAAATTAAACGTGACATCTATAGGGAAATGTCCAATAAGTTATCGGCAATAAAGTGTTGAAGCATAGAGAAGAAAACAGGAGATCTGATAGACCTGGGTGAAACTCAGGGAGTGAAACTCCCAACACATGCAGTGTGTTGTAGAACTAAACAGAATACATTCCAACATACTACCAGTTAAGAGAAAATAAAAATATTCAATGAAGGCACTAGTTTATACCTTTTGATAAGGGGTGAACTGATGTTAAAGGATTGCTTAGCAGAAAGAAGGGCTTGATTGACACTAGATAAGATGAAGCTGAGCTGCATTTGTTCTTGTTCTACCCAGTGGTTCTCAACTAGGTATGCTACCATACCCTTAGAAGACATCTGGAAATGTATAGGGTGTTTGGGGTAGACTGATGGGTGCCATGGGCATTTTGTGGCAATGATCTTAGGACACCGACTTGCCACAGCTCAGCACAATGAAGAAAAGTTCTCTCACCCAAAATGTCAACAACTCCCCCCATGGAAGAAACATGGGCCTACCCTTCCTCTAGTAATACTCCACTGTCCATAAACTGAAGCAATACAGACATTAGAACATGGCGCTGGTTGCACAGGTTTTAGTCAGATGAACTTGTGCTCCAATCTGTTCTGACTCATACTAGCTGTATGGCTCGGTATCATTACCTAGACCCTGAGACTTAGTTTCCTCATCTAAGTAATGCAGAAAACAATTGTTAATACACATCATTTAGGGTGGTTCTGAGAATTATAAAACTCTTAAAAGTACTTGGCCCAGTGTTCGGTTCAGGGAGTCATATAAATGTACACTATTATTAGAAGTGGAAAAGGGGGATGAAAGAGGAACTCTAGTATGGAGATGAAAATAAACAAGATGAAATTCAAATAGAAAAGGAAGTCTAGACCAGCACTGTCCAACTAAAAATATGGACCCCCCCTCAAAAAAAAAGGCCAGCACATGTAATTTTTTTTAGCACATGTAATTTTTAAATATTCCCTAGCCACATTAAAAAAGACAAGCAACAGGTAAAATTAATTTGATTAATATACAATATTTAGGTAACCAACTGTATCCAAAAATATGATTTCAACATGTAATCAATATAAAAAAAAATCAGAGGTGTTTTCCTTTTTTTTTTTTTTTTTTGGTATAAAGTTCTTTAAATCTTATGTGTATTTTACTTACCCAGTGCTCATCAGCCACCTGGGGCTACAGCTATATATTGGACAACACAGAGCTAGGGTATCAGTGAGTCCAACTCTTTCATTGACTGCTAGCTCTCAGTAATTAAAGATTCTTGCCAGCTAATATTTTAGTGCCTAGAGAGTAGTTTCAGAAAAGTCTCAGTTATTACATTTAGGTACTTTAAACTCAGGATCTTTATACCACTGAGAAGAGGCAGTGCTGTAGAATGATTGACCAGTCATGAGTGGACTCCATGAGTTGTAGGTTCCCACTCCAACTCTCCTGCTTCCTATGTCCTTGAACAAGTTAGGTAGTCAAAAACCTATTTTCTTATTTGCAGCACATAGATGATGTTACTAGCTCCCCTAAGTATTGCTCTGAGGATCATGTACATAGTTTTAGCCCAGTGCCTATAGGAATTTCTCCAAATGTGAATTGCAGATAGTTGTTATTTGGCTTGAGAAATTGGACAGGAGTCACTAGAATTCTAGTTATTCTTTATATATACACACAAGTATTTCATTCAGAGCTCAATTACTTTTACGGCTTTTGTTAATGAGCACACTATGTACTTTCAAAGATGAGTGTTTCTTGTCAAGTGCAATGACTTGTCCTTGTGTTCAGATATACCTTAACCTCTGGAAGACTGCCTGGCACATGGTAGGTCCTCAGAAAGTTTATTAAATGAATTTCTGGCTCAGAATTCCTGAGTAATAGTTATAAGCACACTATTAACAGTATGATTTAACCTTTATTCTAATATTTAAATTATAAAGTTTATTTATGTAGCTATTTTTCAACGAGAACAGTCTCTGTCACAAATTTAAGATTCTTGAGTTGATACAAAGTTCAAATAGCATAGGGCAAGATTAATGATTGGTAGTTTATTTGCCACAGAAGTAGTTCTACATATAAATTACTAAAATATAATCTCAATATGGTAACCTCAAGGCTACCCCAGAATTTATTCCATTCATAAATGTTAAAACTCATCACTAAATTCCTATAAAGCTTAAAAAAACATGCAAAACTGGTATAGCACAAACAGATTTATTTACTAACCAAAGAGATGATCCTAATTAAACCGACACTTTGAAATAGTTAAAGTAAAATGTTTGTGATAAAGATAATTGAACACAGTAATGAAAAAAAAAGAAGTATGGAGATTTGCTCATTGAACTGAGCTTCTTCATCCTCTCAGCTTCCTATCCAAAATGATGATGAAAGTTTTACTCTACTTTTTCATAGACCCGAGTACAGGTGACATTGTTCATGACACATACCTAGGAGAAAGAGTGATATTAGAAGAGTCAGGTTAGTCTTACATCACAGAGCAATGGTGATAGTTAAATGCTAGGACCACAATCCTACAAAACGTTGTAATCTACTTCATAGACGAAGAAAATGCACTTTAGGATTCCTGGGTTTGAAAAGCTAGAACCTGTTATTTTGCTTATGATGTGCATATGCTTAACTGAAAACTAAATACTGATTTGCAATATCTAAACTATTCATTCAGTCTCAGCAAACACTATTCCTCATATTAAAGAAGCAGAAAAACGTATGCCTAAGAATATATAGACATTTTTTTACAAATTGAAGGTTTGTGGCAACCCTGCATTGAACAAGTCTATTGGCGCCATTTTTCCAACATCATTTGCTCACTTCCTGTCTCTGTGTCACATGTTAGTAATTCTCACAATATTTCAAACTTTTTCATTATTATTATATTGGTTTTGGTGATCAGTGATTAGTGATCTTTGGTATTACTATTGTAATTTGGGGGCAGTTATTAGCAATAAAGTTTTTTTGTTTGTTTTTCTTTTTTTTTGCAGTACACGGGCCTCTCACTGTTGTGGCCTCTCCCGTTGCGGAGCACAGGCTCTGGACACGTAGGCTCAGCGGCCATGGCTCACGGACCCCGCCGCTCCGTGGCATGTGGGATCCTCCCGGACCGGGGCACGAACTCGTGTCCCCTGCATCGGCAGGCGGGCTCTCAACCACTGCGCCACCAGGGAAGCCCTAAAGTATTTTTTTAATTGAGGTATGTATATTGTTTTTTCAGACATAAGGCTATTGCACACTTAACATAATAGTATAAACATAAATTATATGCACTGGGAAACCAAAAAATTCACATGACTCACTTTATTGTGATACTCAGTTTATTGCGGTGGTCTGGAATCCAACCTGCAATATCTCTGAAGTGTGCCTGAACTGTAAATGTAGCAGCAGAGCATGGACTAAACCCAGCTCCTGCTACATCCTCTAGTACATCATCTCACTTCTCTATCTCTACAAAGGGCTTTCTTAGTTATTAGCGTTTTGTATTTACCTTGTTACTTTGCAGTTTTTTCCTTTCCAAACCTAGTTCTGCTCATGATCAGTGATACAGAACACCTATGTGAACTACGAGTTCAAACAAGAAGCCCAATAAAATAGAAGATGTCAGACACTTACCACCACTAATTTTCCGTCTTCCACTTTTCTTGTTATTATGCTTTCCTTTCCATCCCATTCCTGACGTTGAACCAATGCGCCATCTGTAAAGTTGCAGACAGTCTGCCAAAATAAAGTATATTTCTTAATCTTCCAAAGTACAATAAAAGAGAGTTTCTGTGACTCATAACCTCCTTAACCAACATTTTTTCATCTTTTCCCTTCCGAGTCTACTTCATTAGCCCATACTGATTTCATTTGTAACACAGTTTACACTTTTCAATCTAGATGCGCATAAGAGATACGCACTCTTTCTCGTGTCCCTTCAACTATTTTTACAAAATAGACTATGTTGTGAAGCTGGTACTTTCACTAATTTGTCACAACTCAATTCATAAAACAACTTGTGACTTTTTCATTAAGTTCTTGCCTGGAAGCAGTAAGACTGTTATTAATAGAATCTATCATTCTAGAAGCTTCTGTGATATTATAAGTTAGGACTGACCTGAGTTTTTCTGCCATCAGCTGTAGTCTCTTCAAACTTCTCTCCCAGGATGCAGGAAAACTGTGTTGTTTTCAAAGCGGTCTCAGTTTTTATGGTGAGGTTTTTGCCGTCGGAAGTGATGATACAGTCCGGTTTAGCTATTGCACCCATTTTTCGCAGAGCTAGCCCCACTCCTGTAGAATGTTATATCGTGTTAAACAACAGGAAGACCAAAGTTATAGTTTGCATAATAAAAGCAGCAATTCAATTGTAATCACTATGCTGTGCATATTTTCACCTATTCACTTATCAATAACCACCGTGAACACATATCCAGTGCTCACCATGTGTTCATACTTGACATATATTATTCATGGCAGCCTTATGACAACCTTGTGGAAGGTGGATACACTGTCTCCATTTTACAGATGAGAAGGTGAGGCACTGATGTAATTCACTCAAGCTCATTCAGCTAGGGAGGGAGGGGGCTGCGAACCAACAATGCAGGCAGGCCGTGGGCCTCCAAATAGCTCAGCCACCACGCTCTGCTGGCTTTCAGAAAGTTAGGGAAGATATCTAAACTTCTACAATTTCCTCAATTCTGCCAACCATTGTATTCTATGACTCCAGCACACAGTCTGGCACATAAAAGGTCCCTGATAAATATTTGATTAGCAGACTATACAAAATCAACATTGATCCTGAGATACGCCAATTACACAAAGTTTTAAGAGTTAACTGCACAATCATAACGCTAGCAAACAGGAAAAATCTTACCCTCAAACAGAGTAACTATTTCAGAGCTGTGTAACTCAACTACTGTATTGACATATTTAATTTATAATCTGTGTATGTCCCCTTAATGTTAACATTTAGTAGGAAACTTAGTTCTAGGCGAAATCTCGGTTTCACAGATGAGGAGATTACAACCTAGACAGAGGAACTGACTTGATGATGAACACTCAGCCAGGCTTGAAATGTCCCCATGAAGACTTCTCTTTTGCCAGCTCAAGGCTGGTGCCTTGTTTTGTTAGAGTCATTAGATATTCTCACTTTGGACAAATAAAAGGCTCTGCTTTTCCTACACCTTGATTGCTCTCTAATGAATTGAGCCTTGACAACCTTCATGACTCCAGAACTCTGGAAACCAGCCATCTGATAAACACATTCACTTTCAATGGGCAGAGAAACAGCCTTCTCCGGTCCTCACACATGTGAACAAACACAAATGTGTTTCTTTGATTTGAGTACGTTAGGTGGCTTTACTCACAGGCTCGTAAGGACACTCAAGAGTCACCACAGAACCAGCCTTAAGCAGCCTCTGTCTTGCATAAAGGTTAGTGAAGGTGTGTTTCCGAAGTACCTCAGGGCCTAGGTCTTTGTAGCGACTTGTGCACCAGAAAGCAGTCATGTCAACATTTGTGGGAGGGCGACTTCTAAAGCGTCCCCCAGTCCCAGCAGTTGTCTCAGATAGGATCTTTGCCATGCTTCACCATCCCACTTCCTAGGGGCCTGTGACAAAGGTTCATCTCTGTTTGCCAATCTACCCAGTGTTTCAACCAGCATGCAATCGTTGTCACCGGCTCAGGAAAAAGACAGGAGAAAATTCAGCACTATTTTGAGTGACAACTTGAATCTTCCTACAGAGACTCATCCTTCCTTGGAAGGCTTTTAATAAGTCAAGTGCCTTCTGCAAAGCCACAGCCATCTTGGATGTGGTAGGAAAGCAGCCGCAGGAGGGACCGGCAGTTTCTGATCGCGGTTTCCCAACAAAGCCTCTCTGCCCTCCACCCTCTAGATGCAGAGGCCAGGGCCGCGGCGCACTGCCTCCCCATCCCCGGGCACAGTCAACCTCACTGCGCTCCTCCCACAGGCCACCCGCCAACAGTACAGCGCCGCCAGTGCCACGCCTCCGAGCGCCGCTCTGGGGCGCGGAGGCGAGGATGCCCCGATGCTCCCCGGTGAGCCGTGCCAACCCAAAGGGCCCGGCGCACCCGGAGAGGGCGGGTGGGGGACCTGCGGGTAAGGGAGATGCAGCCGAGAGCGGAATGGAAGCTGAAGCAGTAGCCCGGTTCAGACCCTCTAAAGGATTTCTGCTAGAAACCGCGTCCCCGTGGAGAAGAGGGAGGGGACCCCGCGCGCCATCTAGGAACAAAGATGCGGCAGGGTGGGCAAGGCGAGTGGGTGCGGCCACGACGGAGTGAGTGCGAGTGGGAGGACGGGGTCAGGATTAGGGAGGACGAGTAGTGGAGGAAAAAAAATAGGTAAAGTTAAGAGGGCTGCCTGGAGGGGTCGAAAGAAGTGAAGTTGGGGGTGGGAGGGGGGGTGAGCGCGCTAAAGGCAGGGAGCAAGTGCGGTGGCGCCCAGGGGAAAGCAGCAGAGAGCGGGGCAGACCGAGAGGCCCACGCTCTCCCCGCCGCTCGCCCGTGACGGAGGTGGAAGAGGATAACGGGGTCGGCGATAGGCAGCCAAGCATGCCCAGCCTCTGAGCCCAGCACGCCGAAGGGGACCTAGGGACAGATAGACATACACGTGCCACGTTGCAGCGCCGCATGCTGGGGAACCTCACCTACTTCCTTCATGTATTCGTCAAAGCCTTTGCTCTCTACTAAGCACCATCTTCCTACCAGCTGCTGAATGGTGGCCATGGTGGGCGCGGGCGGGCGAGCGTGCAGAGAAAGCGAAGGAGGGTCGGGCGCCGGGAACCTGGCGTGCGGACGCCAGGCCACCGCGGCTGCTTTATAAAGGCGGAGCGCGCGCAGGGCGGCGCCCGGCGGCCAATGAGAGGAGCGCCTCGCCCGCCCGGCACCCCGCCTCCGGGTCTCGCTCCGGGGGTCCAGACAGGCAAACCCGCTCCACCTGCCCCGGCCGCGAGGACTCCTCCGGCGCCTCCTGCAAGCAGGGACTCGCCCGGCGCGCCCCACACCACACCGGACGCCAGCCCCTGCACGTTCCCGCGCCTCCTTACGCCCAGGAAGCCAGAGGGGCTACCGGCGGACCCGGCCCACAGATCCCACGTCAAGCTGCCGCCCCTCTTCCATTCAAAACACCCCCAAAGAATCGATTAGCCTTCGCTCCGCTCCAATGGCAGGAATTGATTGATCGGTAGTTTGATTGATCGATTGATAAACTTCTTTGCCTCACTAGTCACTGCTCGCAGACGGGGCAAACCCTCATCCCACACCCTCCTGAGACAACCCGTTCTCCCCACCCTCAGGCCACTCCCGGACCAAATGGGGCCTCAGGATGGGTGTATACCTGTGTTGAGTTAGACCATTTTATCAGAAAGTGCTGGGTGGATGGAGATGTCCCAAGAAGTTGGTTTTCCAAACTCAGATTCTGTAGCAGGTATCAGCTTAAGTGACTGCCACTGCTATTAAATGTTCTCATTCAAGTATGTTTTATATTTTCAGTTTCCCCTCAGGCTCCCAAGTCTTTAGATTCCAGTGCTTCTCCTCTTCACCTTTAATCATAATAATTCCCTGGGTTTGTATGTAGAACGTCATACTTTTCAAAGTGTGCTTGTCGCAGTATCTTACTTGGTGCTCCTGGGTTTCTGTGGGAGTGAGCTGGGATGAGGTGAGGAAGTTGCCACACAGAGAGGGTAGCCAACTTGGTGGGGATAAAGTCCATTTACTGAGTGCCTCCTTGCTGGATGCTGTACTTCCTGGCTCCTTTATATCCATTAACTGATCTCCGCTAGATTTTTGCTGAAGAATATTATCCCAACTTTCTGAAAGAGAGATATGGCAGGGAAAGTTTGCAGAGTGGCAGAACCAGAATGCCTGCCCAGATCCTTCTCACTCTAGACCTTGTGAAATAGGTCCACACCTGGCTCACTCTCCTCAAGGGATTAAGAGTAGAGGCTACAGTCCTCTGAACTATTCCAAGACACTAGCTCTTGTACCTTCCCTAACAAACTGAAATCTCAGCTTTGTTTGTCATCTCCCCGCGTGACTCAGGACATTTACTCCCCTGCACTGTAGCCCTTTCAAGTTCCTGCCCTAATTTTAGGGTCATCCCAGTTTTCCTTGTGGTACCATTTTAATACTGAGCGACTCAGGCCATGCAGTTGTGCCACTAAGGGCCGGTAGGTCACACACCTGAGGCTCTACTGCTCAGCAAACATTCACATTCTGAGGGCACCTGAGCGCGTCATTTGCTCAGCAAAGCAAGTGCTGGCTTCCAGACGCTTAGCGCGGCCCGCTGCCCCTCCTCCTGGAGAAGCAGTTCCTACGTGTTTGGACTTGCCTTCTTAATGTGCTAGTTCGGCAGGTTTCGTCCATTTTTGTATAGAATATGGTAATAATAGCCAGGACTCAATGCCGGAATACTAATTTTTAGATTATCATAGTCAACCATGCTATAGAAATATCAGAAGGAAATTGGCACTATAGTACTAAATACTCAGGTACTTAAATTGTTTTTATACCAGAGGCATTACCCAAAACTTATCTTTTAAGCACAGTCTTTGATGTGATGAGTGTGTAGATGAAAAATGTCCCCGCCACATCAGTAAACAAAGGATGCTGCAACCATCAAGGCCTCAGCCACAGCAGCGCCCTGACTGTGCGCCGGAGGGGATTCAGGATGGAAAAAAGCAAAATACTGGCCTTAGATAGTTAAGGCCCATATCAAAGGCCCAGACCCTTGCATCTTCCCATATATA